GTAAGGGCTGTAGAGCTGCTCCTTCCTCGTATCAAGACCTACCCAACCCCTGACCCATTTTTAGAAATTTATATTAATTCTAACTAGTTTATATTAAATTTTAATTGGTTTAAATTATATTTCAACTGATTTATATTAATTTCCACCCGTTTATATTAAATTTTAATTACAAATATGACAGAAAATTTAGAGATTTTAATAAATTCTCTTTATCCGTGAATAACATTTTTTTCAACCATACGAATAATTTTGCAATTATTTGTCTATTTCAACCACCAAATAACTTTTAAAAATTTGAACAATAAAATGGTTTGGTTATATAGAAAGTTAATTATAGCGAAAGTAACGGTTTGTGTTTTAAGCGGGAGTTTTTTTTATTTTTTACCCCCACCAGTTTGTGAAATCCGGAAAAGCTCTTGGAAAACTGTGTCCGTTTATGCTGGGGAGATTATGTGTGGAGAGAGAGAGATAGCTCAGGGAGAGAGTAAATGTAAACGTGGAAAAAGCGACTGTAATGAAAGGAGAGATAGTATAGCAGGAGATAATATAGCGGTGGGATAGTATAGAAGGGGAGATAGTAGAGAAGGGGAAATAATAGAGAAGGGAGATAGTATAGAAGGGGAGATGGTTTAGAAGGAGAGATAGTATAGGAGATAATATAGCGGTGGGAGAGTATAGAAGGGGAGATAGTATAGAAGGGGAGATAGTAGAGAAGGGAGATAGTATAGAAGGGGAGATAGTTAGAAGGGAGTTAGTATAGAAGGGAGATATTATAGAAGGGGAGATAGTATAGAAGGAGAGATAGTATAGAAGGAGAGATAGTATAGAAGGGGAGATAGTATAGAAGGAGAGATAGTATAGAAGGGGAGATGATAGAGAAGGAGAGATAGTATAGAAGGGAGATAGTATAGAAGGGGAGATAGTATAGAAGGGAGATAGTATAGAAGGGAGATAGTATAGAAGGGAGATAGTATAGAAGGAGAGATAGCATAGAAGGAGAGATGTTATAGAAGGGGAGATGGTAGACAAGGAGAGATAGTATAGAAGGTAGATAGTATAGAAGGGGAGATAGTAGAGAAGGAGAGATAGTATAGAAGGGAGATAGTATAGAAGGGGAGATAGTATAGGAGAGATAGTATAGAAGGAGAGATGTTATAGAAGGGGAGATGGCAGAGAAGGAAAGATAGTATAGAAGGGGAGATAGTAGAGGAGAGATAGTATAGAAGGAGAGATGTTATAGAAGGGGAGATGGCAGAGAAGGAAAGATAGTATAGAAGGGGAGATAGTAGAGGAGAGATAGTATAGAAGGGAGATAGTATAGAAGGGGAGATAGTGTAGAAGGAGAGATAGTATAGAAGGGAGATAGTATAGAAGGGAGATAGTATAGAAGGGGAGATAGTATAGAAGGAGAGATAGTATAGAAGGGAGATAGTATAGAAGGGAGATAGTATAGAAGGGAGATAGTATAGAAGGGGAGATAGTATAGAAGGAGAGATAGTATAGAAGGGAGATAGTATAGAAGGGAGATAGTATAGAAGGGAGATAGTATAGAAGGGGAATTAGTATAGAAGGAGAGATAGTACAGAAGGGAGATAGTATAGAAGGGAGATAGTATAGAAGGGGAGATAGTATAGAAGGGAGATAGTATAGAAGGGGAATTAGTATAGAAGGAGAGATAGTACAGAAGGGAGATAGTATAGAAGGGAGATAGTATAGAAGGAGAGATAGTATAGAAGGGAGATAGTATAGAAGGGAGATATTATAGAAGGGGAGATAGTATAGAAGGGAGATAGTATAGAAGGGGAGATAGTAGAGAAGAGAGATAGTATAGAAGGGGAGATAGTAGAGAAAGGTAGATAGTATAGAAGGGAGATAGTATAGAAAGGAGATAGTATAGAAGGGGAGATAGCAGAGAAGGAGAGATAGTATAGAAGGGAGATAGTATAGAAGGGGAGATAGTAACGAAGGAGAGATACTAGAGAAGGAGAGATAGTATAGAAGGGAGATAGTATAGAAGGGGAGATAGTATAGAAGGAGAGATAGTATAGAAGGGAGATAGTATAAGAGGGAGATAGTATAGAAGGGGAGATAGTAGAGAAGGAGAGATAGTATAGAAGGGAGATAGTATAGAAGGGGAGATAGTATAGAAGGGGATCTAGTAGAGAAGGAGAGATAGTATAGGAGAGATAGTATAGAAGGGAGATAGTATAGAAGGGAGATAGTATAGAAGGGAGATAGTATAGAAGAGAGATAGTAGAGAAGGGGAGATATTATAGAAGGGAGATAGTATAGAAGGGGAGATAGTAGAGAAGGGGAGATAGTAGAGAAAGGGAGATAGTAGAGAAGGGGAGATAGTAGAGAAGGGGAGATAGTATAGAAGGGGAGATAGTAAAGGGATAGAGTGGAGCAGGAGATATATAGCGGTAGGAGTGATAGTATAGAAGGGGAAATAGTATAGAAGGGGAGATAGTATAAGAAGGGGAGATAGTATACATTATCCCCCTTTCTGCTATTTGAGAGTATATACTTTAATCCCTATTTTAGGTATTAAAGTATATTCTTGTCTGGTTGTGAACAGGTTACTATGCAGTCTTAATGACCCACTTGTAGCCGATAGTCTTTAAATCCTATTAACTGACCAACCATTTGAATTATTAATTCTGAGAGTCAGTAACCCAGGATAATCCAAGAAAGTCAATTAGTCTGGCTTATTTCCACTGTGGGGCGAGTGCTTTGCTCTCCTTCCCCAGGATGCCACCCACTCCAGTCAAGAGCTTGCTGCTTAGTGAACATGGGAGCAGTAGGTGTAAGGTGTCGGGCCTAGCTATACCTCCTAGGATCGAACCCGGGTCCTTCGCTTGTGAGCTAAAGGCCCCACCACTTGTATGTACATTGGTAGATTGAGAGATGTGTGGGTAAGAGCTTTTAGCTTGTAAATAAAGTCAGGAAGCTTAACCTAACTTTGAAAAACCCTGTGAATGAGATGGATAAATAAAGAAAGAGAGAGAGTTATAGATAGATAGCAAAGTGGAAGAATGCACTACGATATCTCAACAATGCATCTTCTGAACGGCTTGAAACTTAATCGCCTGATCCATAATGGTATTTTTGGTGTGTCATAACTATAATACCTCCTCGAATCTGCTTCTATTTTTTTAGTATTAATGTATTTTTTGCTCACAGGAAAACTTACATAACTAATGTGTTGGGAGAGTTCCAATGTGTCAATTTTCAGTTTCCACGTGAGAATTTGTGAATGGCTATGCTGATAGGCTTTCAGATTTATTGTTTATTCTGCAGGGTAAAATGACTCGGAGTCACATAAAAAGGTAAATACAAGCCTCGTCCATGCATACTTCCCACCCACTACATCCTTCATAAGTTCTTATCAAGTTCTTCCCTTTCACAGGTTACCTACAAGACCCACGCCACACCTTCCTCACTTCACTTCCCCTTATACACGTTCCTCCCTTCACACCTCCTTAGACTTTTTCCTCTCTCTACGTCTCCTCACACACGACCCCTTACACAAGTTCCTATACGACCATTTACATACGTTCCTCCACTACCCCTTACGCAAGTTCGTTTACGCTCCTTTACATACGTTACTCCACGCCCCCTTACACACGTTCCCCCACGCCCCCTTACACAAGTTCCTATACGACCATTTACATACGTTCCTCCACGACCCCTTACACAAGTTCCTATACGACCATTTACACACGTTCCTATACGACTATTTACATACGTTCCTCCACGACCCCTTACACAAGTTCCTATATGACCATTTACATACGTTCCTCCACGACCCCTTACACAAGTTCCTATACGACCATTTACATACGTTCCTCCACGACCCCTTACACACGTTCCTCCACGGCCCCTTTACATACGTTCCTCCAATAGTTCGACATCCCTCAATAATCCCCCAGAAAAGATGCCTCATTTGCAACGAGAGAGTGGAAGCCAATCTTGCATCTTCCTGCCAGGCATCAGCACCTGCAGCCTGACTATTGTTGCCTACTCTCCTCCCTGTCGCTAAGTCTTTGTCCATTCTCGTATTCACGATGAATACCCTAGTGGAAATACATTTTTAAAGATGTTTTTATTGATTTTCGAAAGGTAGGAGGGACTTCCCATCGTCCTTTTCCTACCTCGTCCAGGCCAATTTTAAATATACGAGGGCAAGAAGGTTTTTAATTACTGTATATAGCTCAAGCTTTTATATTGGTAGTCCCCTTATCTACAGCACTGCCATGGTATAGTGTTCTTTGTGTACCTCATCATTGTAAGTACTATCAAATATTTCAACTCAATGGCTCTTCACTTGTTTTCCATTTTCTTTCCTTATTATAGTGGGTTGGAATTGCTGTTGTGATTATGATTGGGGGGGGGGATATTTGTCATATATGTAAATTTCGACATTTATTGATTCAGTGGGCAAAGTTCTCTGTTTATAAAATCACGTAAGCAAACACTAGGGCATATTTATTAGAATTTTTTGGGTCCTGGGACCTTGGTCACTTCTGATATATCCAAGTGTTTGCTTATTTGTCTCTCTAAACCAGTTTATCGGTATCTATTACCCAGGTATTATATATACCGTTGTACAGAGACACACGTCAATACCTATGGTCTTTTCATGGCAAGAATTAGGAATGGTATAACACCAAGGTGGTTGTACACAAATAACCAGAGCATAGGAGACAGAATCTTATGATGACGTTACGGTCTGACTCGGACCTTTTACAAGTCACACTAACACACGAAGGTGAGGGAGCCAGTACATACAGAAGACGGGGAGAGGAATGGGGCTAAATGTATTGTTCCAGTCACTGTATTGTGCCTTTTTGTCCTTCAAGGTGATTTTTTTTGGCTAAGAAAAGCATATAGTTTAAGGTCCTTACATACAAAGGGCACACACATGTATCCTCATGTGATATATATTATTATTGATCAATACACGATTATTTTGTGACAGGTTAAAAATATATACACGATTTTCGAGGAATACACGTCTTATATTATGACATACACTTCCATACCAAAAAAAGTACATTTGTAAAATACTTGTATTCACCCTCGAAGCTCATGTGAAAATCCTCATGACTATAATTCAGCAGATATTTTTTTAAATGCAGAAGCAAGCCTATTTTTAACATAACCAAAACTCTGGATTAATAAAATATTGAAATACTAAATAAAAACACCTCTATATGTTTTATTAATAAAGAATAAAAACATATTTTACTTGCTGAAAATAAAGGAGAAAATAAAATATATTTATTAAATTCACAGCAAAAGCAAAAACCAAGTGATAATGCAAATGAAAAATATTAATGATAAAGTAGAACGTGAATTAAAGTGGTTTATTACTAACAATATTGAAAACAAAACCTTGCTTGGTTGTTTTATCGCGACATTAAAACATTGTCCCAATGAGTTTGTCCTGCAACGTCTTTCAGCGGAAGGCATCAGTCAGATGACCAAAAGCTCCAGTGGCGGGTTATGTGACTAAGACCAGCGTCAGGAAACACTTGACTTTCTTCCTGAAGCATCTGACCTAACCTGACCTCGTCTACCATCCTGGAAGAACACCGACTGGATCCACCTTTGCCAGGGTTCAATCTTCATAGTAGCTTGGCTGTTATATTTAATGGCAGTAACCTACGACAAAATGCGTATGTATACACATGAGGGCGTAACTGGAAGTTAAAAACACAGGAATCAGAGGGATGTTAGGAAGTTGAATAACCTCGACGAAGTATTGGAGGGAAGTTGCAGACGAGGCTAGAATGGAATAACTGTTACAAGTGGCAAGCTAAGAGGCAGGGCTAGGAGCTGAGACTCAACCCCTGCAATCACAAATAAGTGAGAATACGAGCAAGCACACGCACATACATGTGCACACACACACACACACACACACACACACACACACACACACACACACACACACACACACACACACACACACACACAAAGAGTGCTATCTAGGATCGGAGGACAATTGAGGGCTACAAAACACTTTTTCATATCATTAGACGCTCAGACCCTCCTCAGCTCTGGAACTTCAGAAAATCCTAAATTTTAAACACTCCATAGATCTGAAAAGGCTCTGAACGTCAACAAGTTCAGCCTGACAACTTGTGACTCTAAAAAAGAAAATTCAAATCATTTTCAGGCCCGAAACCTGAGAATGGTCTGAGCCCTTTCGTGTCCACTCCTGCCCCTTCAGTCTGGAGTCTGAAGATGCGGGTGGACATCGACTGCAACCTCTCTTCGGATTCTTAGCCCTTAAACCTGAATTTCACGCGTGACTGTAAGGAAATATTGCAGCAGGCAAGGCGGCCTCCAGCGTTGCCAGTGGTTAGGCTATCGGGATGCCCACCAAGGCCCAAGTCATCTTCCCGAGCATGGACCTGCAGCAAAAGGAGATCATGTACTGCAAGATTCTCTTTGGCAAAACACATAAATCTTAAAATACGCTGTGATAAATATTTTTGTTACCACGTTATGGCTTGGTCACTCTTTGGTATACAACCATGACTATATTGTTACTGCATTATATTTCTGGCTATATATCCATGACTGCATAGTTACTGCATTAATACTGCTTGCTATACACCCATGACGCTGTGCAGTTAATGTATAACTCATGTTACTTACAGCTGGATCCTATTATCCTGGATCCTGCTAAGGTGGAAATCTGCTTATCCTGGTCTGACCACTACCACTTAAGAGCCAAATTCGCAAAAAAAAAAAAAAGACTAAAAGGCAAATTCAGGAGAGCCAAATTCGAGTATAATATCGGAAATGCTCGAAGGCGTCCCTTACCTCCCTCCACTATGGCTATGCCTCATGGTTGGTCAGCAGTGCAGTGAAATGTAAGTCATAACTTCGTGGAGTGAACACACACACAACTATAACAACCTCTGGATATTCATTACTCACCACAATAGCCTTGTTAATGATGGAGTTCGGACCAAGGAAGGCCACCTGAGTATCAGACATGATGTATCCATGTAGCTCTCCGTTTTCATCCACTTCTATGTTTCCCAGGTCACCCACGTGCCTGTTGAGGTGCAGACCATTACAGGTCAACACAGTAATGTAGATAATTGGTTCAGAGAATCGAGAACACCATTTTTCAAACGTTTCGCCACACAGTGACTTCCTCAGTCGAAGACAGAGAAGAATGGTTGAAAATCAGGAGTTTGAGGTAATCACTGGATGGAGAAACGTTTCCAAGATAAAGATACCCAAGTGTTGCACAGGTGTCTAATTTATCATCAGGTCAACGCAGGTAAACACTTTACAGATCAACAAGGTTTACTGCAAGTCATCTTAAGTTAACTAAACTGTCACAGACCAATACAGTTCAAGTCAGTTTTGCATGAATTAACGGACTGAGCCACATTTCAGAATAAAAAAAAATCAGATGAACACAAAGTAGTGTAAGCCATGCTCAGCCCAATGGATTCCAAACTGTCATTTTGCCCCTCAAAAATACATTTTGATGTGTAGAACTTTACCTAGGCCTGACTTGATAAAGCTCTACACAGAACTAAACTCGTATTTTCAGACTTATTGTAAGTATTGTATATTTTATTATCGTTAATCTGACGAAGCCTAATAGACTACCCAAGATACCCATTTCAAGATTAAAAAACAACAATGTATGCTAATACACAATTTCTTACAGTTTTTGCGTTACTTTTTAATAAAAAAAACCTTGAGGTTTCTATACCTGACACATCTAGAACCCGGACCTAGGTGATGTCCAGGTTTCCTAACCTAGACATCGCCTAGAAGAATAACTATAACCCACATAGTAAAGTTGGGACTTATCTGGGAGGAATTTGACTCACCTAGGAGTGCTGCTAGGCCCACCATGGGCAACAGAGAAGGGATTGAAGTGAGCTCCAGCAGTACCACAGCGATATTCACTGGCAGGATTCTCGTGAATGTGGAAGCCATGTAGGCGCCCTTGCTGTGGGGATGGTAATGGATTGCTATATAATGGTTAATGGGGGGTTAAAACATATTCACGTAACATATGCATGTAATCTTTTCATTACCAGACAAGACTATAATCCTTAAAATAGTGATTAAATTCTCAGCATATATACAATGGGAAAAATACACTCCTTGATGTATATATCATGTCAGTGTGCTTACAGTGCTAAGTAAACCCGTACGGGTCATTCAACACAGGTAGAAGTGAAGGCTCCGTCCTTAATTGTTAAAGGCTAAGCACAAATTCGCAGCCAGGTGACACATCATTTACAAAACTTAATATACTGTCTCAAAAACACTAGTATAAATGTGCAATGAGTCCGAGGGCACAAAGATGTTATGGACACTCACATTAATACTGAGTCTTGTAATTTATGAGGGATAGGCTAAATTATTCGAGAGAAACAATGGAAAACACATGTTTACATTCCTGTGTTTCTCCTGATAATTCCCTGGAACGCAGGCGGGAGAGATACATGATTATATACACCTGGAAAATCCTAGAGGGACTAGTACCGAACTTGCACACGAAAATCACTCACTACGAAAGCAAAAGACTTGGCAGACGATGCAACATCCCCCCAATGAAAAGCAGGGGTGTCACTAGCACGTTAAGAGACCATACAATAAATGTCAGGGGCCCGAGACTGTTCAACTGCCTCCCAGCATACATAAGGGGGATTACCAACAGACCCCTGGCAGTCTTCAAGCTGGCACTGGACAAGCACCTGAAGTCGGTTCCTGACCAGCCGGGCTGTGGCTCGTACGTTGGTTTGCGTGCAGCCAGCAGCAACAGCCTGGTTGATCAGGCTCTGATCCACCAGGAGGCCTGGTCACAGACCGGGCCGCGGGGGCGTTGACCCCCGGAACTCTCTCCAGGTGGCCCGGTGGCCTGGTGGCTAAAGCTCCCGCTTCACACGGAGGGCCCGGGTTCGATTCCCGGCGGGTGGAAACATTTCGACACGTTTCCTTACACCTGTTGTCCTGTTCACCTAGCAGCAAATATGTACCTGGGTGTTAGTCGACTGGTGTGGGTCGCATCCTGGGGGACAAGATTGAGGACATCAATGGAAATAAGTTAGACAGTCCTCGATGACGCACTGACTTTCTTGGGTTATCCTGGGTGGCTAACCCTCCGGGGTTAAAAATCCGAACGAAATCTTATCTTATCTTATCCAGGTTAGTTCTGTAATATATTCATTCTGATTTAAGGAGGCCAGGTTTAAGACCAGGCTGGGGAGCGAGAATCCCTGGAACCACTAACGCATATAATAGATAGCAAGAGTCATACACCAGACATAAAACAATTGAGACCAAGAAAAAACGTGAGTAACTAACAAAAATACATTATTGTTCGAGTTGGGAGGTGTTCGTAACTCGAGGTACGACTGTATTAGGGACACTAATGATGCAACTCAGCTATACTGTATTATATTATGCAGATTTAACTTAGTGTAACCTAATAAAGTAAGGTAACAGAGGTTATAAGCCATAGGAGTTAAAATTAAAACCCATCAACCTGTCTTTCTCTTTTACACAGGGTTTTATCAAGTTAGGAACCTGTCTTTCTCTTTTACACAGGGTTTTATCAAGTTAGGAACCTGTCTTTCTCTTTTACACAGGGTTTTATCAAGTTAGGAACTGTCTTTCTCTTTTACACAGGGTTTTATCAAGTTAGGAACCTGTCTTTCTCTTTTACACAGGGTTTTATCAAGTTAGGAACCTGTCTTTCTCTTTTACACAGGGTTTTATCAAGTTAGGAACCTGTCTTTCTCTTTTACACAGGGTTTTATCAAGTTAGGAACCTGTCTTTCTCTTTTACACAGGGTTTTATCAAGTTAGGTTCAGGGTTCCTAACTTTATTTACAAGCTAAGAGATGATACCCACCTCAGGTAATCCGTCTCTCTCTCTCTTTATCTATCTATCCATCTATCTTTCTTACCGAGACATCGAAGCCAGTAAGATCAAGGTCGAAGTAGACAGGACCCTTCTTGTCTTTCTGAGGGATTAAAAAAGTATCATTAGTAATCTCGGTAGTAATAATAACAGTAATTGTAGCACCAAGACAGTACAAGTAACATTAGGAAAGTACTTGTGCAGTAGTAATAGTATAATTTATTTTACTTTGCAACGGTTTAAAAGTCTTTAATTAACGTCAAGAAATGTCACCACCAGTGACAAAAAAAAAAAAAATACGAGTGTTTTTTTGGCCCAATATATCAATTTTTTTTAGGTGAATTTTGTATCTTAAAGTTTAAACAAGTTGATAAAATCCTTAAACTTCAGAAAAGTCGAAAAAATTGTATAAGGCAATGTATCACCATTTTTTTAATGAAATGCAAAGATTTTTGTAATGTGGTGGAAATTACTACAACAATAAATGCATTAATTTTAAACTAACCTAGTGTAAATAATAAGGCACAATACCGTGACTGGAAGAATACACAAATAACCCGCACATACGAGGTCAGGTCAGGTCAGGTTTGTCTGGAAACACGACAAGTGTTTCCTGACGCGGGTCTATAGGAAAATGAAACTTATGACGACGTTTCGGTCCTACTTGGACCATTAACTAGTCTCACAGAAACGCAAAGTTTCGGTCCTACTTGAACCATTAACTAGTCACACAGAAACGCAAGTTTCGGGCCTACTTGGACCATTAATAGTCACACAGAAACGCAAAGTTTCGGTCCTACTTGGACCATTAACTAGTCACACAGAAACGCAAAGTTTCGGTCCTACTTGAACCATTAACTAGTCACACAGAAACGCAAAGTTTCGGTCCTACTTGGACCATTAACTAGTCACACAGAAACGCAAAGTTTCGGTCCTACTTGGACCATTAACTAGTCACACAGAAACGCGAAGGGAAGAGAGCCAGTTATATGTGTAAGTTAGTGAACTAAGTGTTCTAATCTTTAACCAAATACTTATACCACCTCACTTTAACAGGTGTGTAAATCTACCTTGCTTATGCTGTTTATATCAGGGTTCCCCAAAGTGGTCAATATCGACCCTGAGGGTCGATGTGATTATCGACGAGGTCGATAAATGGCTGGGGGTCAGCCTTCCCATTAATGACATCAATAGTCTCGATAAAAAAAGGTATGATAAATCTTATATTTTTCATAATTTAAATACTACTTATTTTTTTAAGAAGTCATGTGGCCTGGTGGCAAAAGTTCTCGCTTCACACGGTGAAGTTTCCGGGTTCGATTCCCTTCGAGGGTTGAAATATAGGGCGTGTTTCCTTAAACCGGTTGTCTATGTTCATCACCCATCAGTAAAATGGGTACCTGGGTGTTAGTGGACTGGTGTGGGTCACATCCTGGGTGTTAGTGGACTGGTGTGGGTCGCATCCTGGGTGTTAGTGGACTGGTGTGGGTCACATCCTGGGTGTTAGTGGACTGGTGTGGGTCGCATCCTGGGTGTTAGTGGACTGGTGTGGGTCGCATCCTGGGTGTTAGTGGACTGGTGTGGGTCGCATCCTGGGTGTTAGTGGACTGGTGTGGGTCGCATCCTGGGTGTTAGTGACTGGTGTGGGTCGCATCCTGGGTGTTAGTGGACTGGTGTGGGTCGCATCCTGGGTGTTAGTGGACTGGTGTGGGTCGCATCCTGGGTGTTAGTGGACTGGTGTGGGTCGCATCCTGGGACAAAACTGACCTAATTTGCCCTAAATGCTCAGCATAACAAGCGGCTTTCTATATAGTAGTATGTCACTGATGTCAACTATGGTCTGTATACCTTGTACATGTACTGGTAGAAATAAAGATATTAATATTATTATTATTATTATTATTATTATTATTATTATTATCATTATTGTTATCTATCCGTGGTTCGATCCTCGGTACGGGTGGAACATTGGGGCATGTTTCCTTAAGACACCTGCTGTCTCTGGTCACCTAGCAGTATATAGGTACCTGGGTGTTAGTCACCTTATACCTGGTGTACCCGTTCACCTAGCAGCAAGTAGGTACCCGAGTGTTAACCGATTGGTGTGGGTCGCATCCTGGGGCCAAAATTAACCTAATTTGCCTGAAATGCTCTGCATAACAAAGTTTTTTTTCTATATAGTATGTCACTGATGTCGGCTAGGTCTATATAAGTTGCTTAATTGTAGACACAAAGATTATTGTTTTGATTATTATTAAGAGGTGGATGAAGTGAAGAGTTTGGGGATCCATGGTCCATACCCTTTCCCTTGGTGGTAGGAGTGCCAGGTCCTGGGTATGACTTACCCTCTGGGAGATAGTGATGTTTCCCCTGACGGAGGAGCTGGGCAGATCAGCGTTAGGTTTCAGTTTACAGACGGCGTGTACCCAGCGCTCCTGCCGCTGCTGTTGCTGTGGTCTTCGTCCGGGCGAAGTATTTTCGTCGCTGTGAAGACGATTGTGGTCTGGGTCCTTGTGGTCGTGGTCGTCGTGACTGTGTCCATGCTCATGACCGTCTTCATTTTCATGGCTTTCTCCATGTTCATGGCCTTCTTCATGTTCATGAGTGTGTCCAGGTCCATGGTCATGTCTGTGAGCATGGCTATGTCCGTGTGCATGTCCATGGCCATGTCCAGGTCCATGCTCATGACCGTCTCCATTTTCATGGCTGTCTCCATGTTCATGGCCTTCTTCGTGTTCATGAGTGTGTCCAGGTCCATGGTCATGTCCATGTGCATGGCCATGGCCTCGTCCATGAGCATGCCCACCTTTATGTTTGTGACCGTGTCCGTGAGAATGCTGACATTTGAGGCAATGAGTGTGTGACACAGGATCATCATCGTCCTGAAGGGGGTCCTGACCATCCTCGTCAGAGTGGAGACCATGGCGGTCATGGTCATCTTCAGGATGGCCGGTGGAAGGTCCTGGCTGAAAAAGAAACCACAAGTATTATAACTCCTGGTATCCATGGTTAAGTTAGTTAATGGGGTTTAAAGCCTAGCAAATAACAATACACTAAGGCTGCACTTGAAGCCTAGTGAGTAACTAGACATTAAGGCACTACGGTACTACGTTCCACAATCAGCTCTCCTGGCACTGCACCATTCACTAATATACCCTTATCTTACATATGGAATTTGTGCATGGGGATCAACAACATCTAATAACCTAAGACCTCTAACAACCCAGCAAAAGGCAGCCGTAAGAATGATAACAAATTCCCACTCACGCCAGCATACTCCACCAATTTTCAAAAGTCTGAATCTGTTCACCATTAAGAACATCCATACTTATTCATGTGCCTACTACATACACAGAATAAGACACACAAATATAAACCCTCCACTCAAACTTCTCCTCACCAACCTAAACAGGACACATGACCACAACACAAGACACAGATCTCTTTTTGATATACCTCGTGTCCATATCACACTGTGTAAAAACTTTATGCACATAAAGGGCCCCAAAATATGGAATTCATTACTAGAAGATATTAAAGTAACCCAGTCTGAAAATAAATTTAAGACTCTTCTCAAAAGCCACTTAATCACCCTAGACTAAATGCTAAATACTCAGTACACACATACCCACCTATGTACTCCCACATCATAACTGAAACAATCACATTGAACCTTTTATCCATTGTTGACAGGAATATAATTGAACCATTGTTTTCACAAAAAAACATTTTCGAATATAAATATATCTTTGTCTTATACAAATTTTGATTCATTTATAATTAATATTCTACTGTACAACTATGAAATAATTACTACCCTACTGTACAACTATGAAATAATTACTACCCTACTGTACAACTATGATACAATCCTTAGTGTTAAGTAGTCTGTAAGTCAATAATGTTAAGTTGGCCCATAATGCCTGGGCATAATAGAGGCTCTCTTTGTATTGCAACCAACTATTGTAAATATAAAATCTCAATGTACTGTTTGCAAAGACATAAAATAAATAAATAAAGGCTACACTTAATTAAAGCCTAGTGAGTAACAAGACTAAGGCTACACTTAAAGCCTAGTGAGTAACAAGACTAAGGCTACACTTAAAGCCTAGCGAGTAACAAGACTAAGGCTACACTTAAAGCCTAGTGAATAACAAGACTAAGGCTACACTTAATGCCTAGTGAGTAACAAGACTAAGGCTACACTTAAAGCCTAGTGAATAACAAGACTAAGGCTACACTTAATGCCTAGTGAGTAACAAGACTAAGGCTACACTTAAAGCCTAGTGAATAACAAGACTAAGGCTACACTTAAAGCCTAGTGAGTAACAAGACTAAGGCTACACTTAAAGCCTAGTGAGTAACAAGACTAAGGCTACACTTAAAGCCTAGTGAGTAACAAGACTAAGGCTACACTTAAAGCCTAGTAACAAGACTAAGGCTACACTTAAAGCCTAGCAACTAACTAGACACACTAATTATGCACGGTAACTTTTTCACCACCAAACACGAATACTTCAATTCCCAAATTAGATATCATACTTTCGGCATATATACGCTGAGAGAAACATGCCTCGTGGCGCATTTTGTGATTAGCATATTGAGTCAACTCACACAAAGGGACTCGAACCCATGGAAAATGTTTTCAATCGTGTTAGTAACGATTTCGTGAGTCATGTTAGGATAAGATTAATTCAGGAAATTCTCAAATGATTTCACACACTAGTGTACATTAATGCAATGGCTGTGAAGGGCATATGACAAATTTCTTAGATACCTGGAGAGGTTTTCGGGGGTCAACGCCCCCGCTGTCAGGTTTGAGACCAGGTTTCATGATGGATAAGGGTCTGATCAACAAGGTTATTAACTATTTTGTGTAAAGTAAATTTTAGCAAGACTGAGCTTGGCGTGGTCATTTAACCATTATGGGCTTCTGTCGACCTGCAAACTCCAAGGTATCTTGGTAACGACCACAACTGCGACAATCTCTACTAGTGAAAACGGATGGTTTAGAGCAGGGACCCTACCCACCCAACGAACCTTTCTGTTCACCATTGATATAAAAGTTTTGACTTTACTTATAACGGTTGTTCGAAGGCAATGCTCTCATAGACAGTAGCTGACCACCTCAAAAATTAAGGTGCATGTGACTGGTTACTTGATAATTAAAGTCATCTTATTTCTTACTTTTCTGTCTAGAGCTGAAGGAAGCCTACTGGTAGGGAAACGAAAAAAAATCCTTAGTTTTGTTGGTAGAGGAGTACGAAATTAGTATATTTAGATAATCTACGGACGTTTCTACAGAAATTAATTTTTAAAGCCTTTAAGGTGGCCAACGCCTCTGCGCCACAGAAGCCATTTTAGTTCAATTGTTTAAGAAAGATTTCTTATAAAGTGCAAATATTTTTACAAAAAACATTTATTGTTTTATCACAACGTTAATGGAAGACAATGAAACAATCCACAAAAATAATTTGAATCCTCTTGTTTATTTGTAACCTTTATATTTAATAACTGAATCTAGTAAGCACTCTCAGATTTCATATTTTTCAGGGAATACCCCAAATCATCTTAGCTGTCTCTATAGGGGACATAGCTCAGAAAAAACGCCCCAAAATTTATCGAAACCAAAAATCTATGAAATAATAAATAATACTGATAACATTACTATCAGTGAAAAAAATATCTGCAAAAAAAAAAAAAAACTTGCATTTGTAACCACTTTGTGTGTGTGTGTGTATGTACTCACCTAATTGTGGTTGTAGGGGTCGACTCATAGCTCCTGGCCCTGTGTGTGTGTACTCACCTATATGTGGTTGCAGGGGTCGAGTCATAGCTCCTGGCCCCTGTGTGTGTGTGTGTGTGTGTGTGTGAAGCAGCAGAGATCTACATAGTGAAATGGTAAGTTCCACTGACCGCTGCTTCCTGGCTGCTGTCTTGGTCATCGTCGTTGCTACCATCATCCTGGCTGGGGTCCTCATGACCTGGCTGGCCACCACGCTGGTGCCCATGGTGTGTGCTCAGGTGCCTGCGAAGAACAACCCCACACGTACAGATACATTTTGGGGGGGGCAAAAGTTTACAATAGATATACGTAAGGAAACATTATAGGTTTAATGCACATAATACTATCTTACAAAGTCGACATTATACTTTGTATTCTGCGTGTGTCTTATACTTTGCAATTTCCCTGACGTTTTTCACGACCCGTCGCTCAGTTTTCTCTACTCGTTCAATCGTGACCTGAAAATAGTCCAGGACAAGCCAAAACGTTGTCCCAAGTTTCCTTTCTGTATATTTCGACCTTAAACTGAGGTCCTCCTCAGCAGATCAATTTAAAGTCAAAATATACAGATACATATCTATTCTGTTTCTGTCTCCACATAGGTTGCTTCCTCTCACTGACAAATGTTCATTACACCTCTTAGTGTATATAACCTATGACCATAGGAACACAAGAACGAACACTGCCCCATGCTAAGCAGGCCTAACTCACACCCACTCATGTACCCATCAACCTATAAAGGTTAGTCAAGGTTCTTGCCTCGTTGGAGTAAACCTGGTAGTTCCACTCACGAGTGGAAAACAATGAGCATAACATGTAGAAAAATAGACACAAGGAAGTATAATGCATCTCTTTACTGATTACGTTTTGCCCACACAGTGGGCTTTTTCAAGTCACAAACAGATGTACCTAAGCAAAGAGTACATGAGTATATATAGTGAGCAAAGTGACGTGAAGGGTCACGTGTGGAATTTTGAAGTTGACTGCTGAGAAGCTGAATTTGAGAAAGACCTGCCCGGCAGCTCCATGAAGCTGAACTGTTCTCCAAGCTGAGACTGACAACCTCCAACTATTTCTACAAGGTTGATGGACTGACAACCTCCAATTATTTCTACAAGGTTAATAGACTGATATATCCTCTTTACCTAGTCACTTCTGCTGTCTTTAATATATGATCTTGCCAGTTATTATAACAACGAAATCAGACATGACATGTACTTACTGAAGCATTTCATTATTATGGTGATCATTGTGTCCCTCGTGAGGATGATTCAGATGATGAACGTGATGCTCATGTTGCAAGATTGCAGTCTCTTCCATAATCTGCAAAGCACCATTATTGACATGAATCATATACTTCTAATCCGTTAGTAGTGGAGAAAGACACAAAATTAAATCATTGGGACATGTTTATTGGATGTGTTTTTGACCCAGGAGCTTGGTCACTCAAAATATGTATGAAGGTTGGTTGGTTTGAGGTTTAAACTTATCGACTGAAGTGGAGTCATTAAGGCTGCACGTAACCTTTACACCACTAGATAAGAATACTTTAACCTCTAAAATATTGATTAAGTATGGCTGGTTAAATAACATGTGCCTTGTTGAAACTGGTATGAAATATCGATAAGTTGAAATTAAGACACATGTGCAACAGTTGGGTATCTTTATGGATGCAACATTTAACCTACACACAAGAAGCCTATTGCTTAATAAATTCTGGTTCTGGTGATAGTATTCTTTCTCGGAAAACAGGAAACAGGACCCGTCTTTTATCTAAATGACAACATGTTAATGACCCTCGCTTAGTTCCTAAGTTCTAAACCCAGTTAACCAGACCAACCCACTCCCTTTAGCTTTAGTACAATGTGGTTTTTACCTGGTCATGTGAGAGTTCGCTGTGTCCATCGTGTAGGTGATGATTAACTTCCTGGCGCAGGTCGTTAACTTCCTCCCACAGCGCCGAGATGTTCCTCAATACGAACTCCAATCCATTACCACCTGGAAAGCCAAAACAAGATTGTATTTTTTTTTTATTCGCCGGTATTCTCCCGGCCCGGGTCTTTTCCAAGTAGTGGTGACCCGGCCTTGGCTCCCTATCTGGGGAGTGTCTCGAGACTTAAGTCTCCCATGGGAGGAAGTACAAGTACCTCCTTATCGAATACTGTGTAGTCACTAAGCGTCCCTCAAACCTAGTCCGGTACTTGAATAAGAAATGTGTGCAACAGTTAAGTATCTTTATTGTTGAAACTCTTCGCCCTCTCCACAGGCTTCTTCAGTCGTATAGAGTTGACAATAGAGACCCACCTGTTAAACATTTGCCATTAACATAATGATACCAGTCCGGAGCTCTAGCATGTATTTATATTAAATTCCTTGGCTGGTTAGTTTATTAGATTTAAAGTCTATCAAGTACATAAGGTTCTTTAAGGATTCATGCTACTTATACACCACCAGTCAACGATACTTGAATCCTTAAACTAGAGATGACTCTCTTCCCTAAAGGCACAGACAGTCTCATTGGGCCAGCCCATTGTGAAGAAAATCTCCCAACCGTTGTTGTACAATGCCTCACGAGAAAACAAAGCTATCCTCCCAGCTGTCAAGGCACCACATGCTGCAGAATTCCTCTTGGCTGTCTTTAATTATCTTTTTGCTTGGGGGACGTTGAGGAAGGGGCACTCGCTTCGACCCTCAGAACATTTGCATTGGTGTAGCACCTAATCGCGTCAACACGTCAGGAGATCAATTTGAACTCAGTGGTACCTACCACAGGTCAGCAGGTAGTTCTAAACCCGTAGGGATCATACAGCGCCTGTGGGAGGGGGGGATGGAAGGCATTCAGACTTAATTCAGGAAACTGGAGCACAGATCCAATTCCAAAGATCAAGAGCCCCTCACCAGCGTCAAGGAGCCTCCCTTGAGGGGTGGTCAGCAGGAAAACATGCAAGGTTTGAAGAAGTCAGTGATAATGATCAAATGAAGTCTTAGCAACAACCTGTTGCACCCACAGGATGGGTGAAGGTTGACTACCACCCACAGGACTGCTGTGGTGTGATTACCACCCACAGGACTGTTGTGGTGTGACTACATCCCACAAGATGAGTGAAGGTTGACTACCACCCACAGGACTGCTGTGGTTTGACTACTTCCCACAGGATGGGTGAAGGTTGACTACCACCCACAGGACTTCTGTGGTTTGACTACTTCCCATAGGATGGGTGAAGGTTGACTACCACCCACAGGACTTCTGTGGTTTGACTACTTCCCACAGGATGGGTGAAAGGGTTGACTACCACCCACAAAGGACTGCTGTGGTGTAACTACTTCCCACAGGAGAGTGAAGGTTGACTACCACCCACAGGACTGCTGTGGTGTAACTACTTCCCACAGATGAGTGAAGGTTGAATACCACCCACAGGACTGTTGGGGGTGTCACTACTTCCCACAGGATGAGTTTAAGGTTGACTACCACCCACAGGACTGCTGTGGTGTAACTACTTCCCACAGGATGAGTGAAGGTTGACTACCACCCACAGGACTGCTGTGGTGTCACTACTTCCCACAGGATGAGTGAAGGTTGACTACCACCCACAGGACTGTTGTGGTGTCACTACTTCCCACAGGATGAGTGAAGGTTGACTACCACCCACAGGACTGCTTGTGGTGTAACTACTTCCCACAGGATGAGTGAAGGTTGACTACCCCACAGGACTGCTGTGGTGTCACTATTCCCACAGGATGAGTGAAGGTTGACTACCACCCACAGGACTGTTGTGGTGTCACTACTTCCCACAGGATGAGTGAAGGTTGACTACCACCCACAGGACTGCTGTGGTGTAACTACTTCCCACAGGATGAGTGAAGGTTGACTACCACCCACAGGACTGCTGTGGTGTCACTACTTCCCACAGGATGAGTGAAGGTTGACTACCACCCACAGGACTGCTGTGGTGTCACTACTTCCCACAGGATGGTGAAGGTTGACTACCACCCACAGGACTGCTGTGGTGTAACTACTTCCCACAGGATGGGTGAAGGTTGACTACCACCCACAGGACTGCTGTGGTGTAACTACTTCCCACAGGATGAGTGAAGGTTGACTACCACCCACAGGACTGCTGTGGTGTCACTACTTCCCACAGGATGAGTGAAGGTTGACTACCACCCACAGGACTGCTGTGGTGTAACTACTTCCCACAGGATGAGTGAAGGTTGACTACCACCCACGGACTGCTGTGGGTCACTACTTCCCACAGGATGAGTGAAGGTTGACTACCACCCACAGGACTGCTGTGGTGTCACTACTTCCCACAGGATGGGTGAAGGTTGACTACCACCCACAGGACTGCTGTGGTGTAACTACTTCCCACAGGATGGGTGAAGGTTGACTACCACCCACAGGACTGCTGTGGTGTAACTACTTCCCACAGGATGAGTGAAGGTTGACTACCACCCACAGGACTGCTGTGGTGTCACTACTTCCCACAGGATGAGTGAAGGTTGACTACCCCACAGGACTGCTGTGGTGTAACTACTTCCCACAGGATGAGTGAAGGTGACTACCACCCACAGGACTGCTGTGGTGTGTAACTACTTCCCACAGGATGAGTGAAGGTTGACTACCACCCACAGGACTGCTGTGGTGTAACTACTTCCCACAGGATGAGTGAAGGTTGACTACCACCCACAGGACTGCTGTGGTGTAACTACTTCCCACAGGATGAGTGAAGGTTGACTACCACCCACAGGACTGCTGTGGTGTCACTACCTCGACTATGGGTCATACAGCCACATCGCTAAATCTACTCTCACAACAACAAACATCAACGATCCCAATAGAAATAAGTCACTTTAACTTTTGTGGATTATCCTAGGTAATTAACACTATATATAATAACTATACGTATGTATACATCTACATTAACGTCAGAAATTAAAGTAGTTACAAGATAGGTATCACCTCACGGGTAATATTCCATATATCAGCGTACTTGCTTCGGCAGTACATATACTAAAATTGGAACGATACAGAGAAGATTAGCATGGCCCCTGCGCAAGGATGACACGCAAAATCGTGAAGCGTTCCACATTTTTCACCGTAAACATTAGTTCATGGTGTTACTTGTGTTTATAATATGTAAACATGTGTGATTACTTAGTGAAGTGATTTTGTATTGTGAATATGACTGGTTGACAGCGCTCGTACCGGAGAACGATGGTTCGAGGCTATGTTGGTAAGAATTTTTTTTCTTTTTCTTTATTTTTTTAAGATGATAGACACGTTAAGCTTAACTTTAAGATGTAGGAAAATAAAAAAAAATAGCAAAGAACATGACAAATAAATTAAAAATTGAAGTCTATAATTTTCACCTCTAGTATGCCCTGAGTCCTGCCTAAGTGCAGTGTGGTCAGGCTTATGGACAATTTTCAATAAATTGTTATTTAGACACTCATACATAATGATAAATAATTCGGTTTTATGTAGAAAATAAAGTAGACTTTAACATAAACTAAGTTACAGTAATTCTGTTAACTCTGTTGCCTCTGTCCATCTTATGGTAAAAACTAAAAATCTATTATCCTATTGTTAAAATATTATTTAGTAAAAAGTATTGGTTTCATTGGCTGTCTATATCTTTCTATATTAAAAGAAAAATAAAAAAAATATGAAGTCTTCCCTTCCCGAGACTCGAACCCAGACATGGTGGTGATAACAGACCTGTCCACCCAGATGCGCGGCGCACACATTCCTCCACCAATAATTATTTTAACCACATATCTGCACACATCTATATCATGTTACTTACACAATATGGTCAATGTAATGTTTACGGTGAAAAATGTGGAACGCTTCACGATTTTGCGTGTCATCCTTGCGCAGGGGCCATGCTAATCTTCTCTGTATCGTTCCAATTTTAGTATATGTACTGCCGAAGCAAGTACACTGTTGTATGGAATATTACCCGTGAGGTGATACCTTTCTTATTAGGTTTTTGGAGAGATAATATGTCTATAATTTTACAGTGGTTTTGAATAAGTTTATAAGTAAGTAAGTAAGTTTATTCAGGTATACACAAATACAGTTACATAGAATTATCATACATAGCAGCATATGTGTAGAGAACCTGGGATAACCCAAAAAAGTCAGACAGAGTGACTTATTTATAAATAAATAACAAATAACAATAAGTTTATTCAGGTATATACAAATACAGTTATACATAGCAGCATATGTGTAGAGATCCTGGGATAACCCAAAAAAGTTAGGCAGATATTATGGGTTTATTAAAAGTACATTATATAAATTTAACCTATGTATGATAATTGTGCTTATGTAGACCTGGACCTAAATATACTTACTTATTATTCTGTACAGAGTTCTTGCAAGAAGAGAGCATTAGTAATCTGGGTATATGACTCACGAAATCGTAATGACACGATTGCAAACAAACCATACCACGGGTGGGAATAGAACCCGCGGTCAGTCTGGAGTTTTTAGACTCTCTGATCGCGAGTTCTATCCCCACCCGTGGTATGGTTTAATCTGGGTATAGGTTGAGGAAGCTTCATCACCACATAAAAAAACATGATGGAAATAAGTCTGATTTTTTGGGGGGAGGGGGAGGGGGGTTATCCTAGGCAACCTAGACATATGTTGTTATGTATGACAATTTATGTATGTGTATTTATGTGTACCTATACCTGAATAGGTTAGGTATTTGTCAGGAAACAGGAAAGGTGTTCCCTGATGCAGGTCTTGGATAATGACCCGCCATTGGAGCTTTTGATCATCTGACCGAGGCCTTCCGCTGGCTTACCCCTCCACCCCTTTAAAAATATTGGTTCTAGTTATAACCATCTGTTTATTATACCTACATAAACTTATTATGTAGATTTAACTTAGGAAGAACCAGTCAAGCCACAGTTTTATTTACATTAGGATCATTATTGATTCGCGTTGCTTTTATTTCCTCGCCTATTTTTTTTATACCAAAATTGGTTACACTACCTTGATCTCTGTAACACTTTACAAGGTTAGAGAATGAACTTGCTTAAAAAGATCAAGGGGAAAAAACAATAAAAATCAAGGAAGGTGGTTTTGTAGTTGTACATCTTGATGCGGGTGTAGGGCTCTTGAGCCAAGAAACTTGAGCCCACCCTCTTAAGTTTAATCAAACACGATCACCTCTCATTCCCCCAGGCGCTGTATGACCCTTACAGATTTACCGCTACTCATGAATATGATCATTTTTAATTTTGAATGGTGTATCACACACAAACAAGTAATATAGGGACTCTAATGGCAATAATTTACTTAGTTTAGCTTTATGGGCTATTCTAGGTAATTAACACATATGTTAGTAAGTAATACAACTATAAACATTTAAAATTATGTAATGTATTTATGTAATGTATTTAATGAAGGGACACTCTCCAGTTTAAGTAAGATTACCCTACAAAAAGTACAGTTTTCTTTACATAAGAAGCATCAAAGAAAACTGGAATATATTCTGTTGCATTTTTTACTGAGAAGAAAATTGTGTTGCGTGGGAAAGTTTAATTATATGCCTTTTTCCATTCGATATTTGATCTACGTTTATATTAATTTAAATCATTATCATGAATGTTTTAAAAATAAATAATATACGTTGCTACTTATGCCTAAAATTACCCTTCTCTTAGATCAACTCTTATTACCTTCTATGACCCCCTACAGGTTTAGTGCTACTATGATTATAATAAGTGAGTTGGTCTGAATTTTTGGGTTTGAAGGGAGGTGTTGAGGATGCTTGGTTCGTCTGACGAGGTTCTTAGTGAAATAATAAGGACCCCAATGGAAATGCATAAAAGACCAATGGAAATAAGCCACTTTGACTTTTTTGGGTTATCCCAGGTTCTCTACACATATGCTGCTATGTATGATAATCTATGTAAGTGTATTTGTGTATACCGGAATAAACTTACAATGATGGATCAGCTTCTCTTATCTTATCTTATCTCATGTACACACTCTAGGCTTCCATAATATAAATAAAGGCTAGGATATTTATACTTATGTCACGTTGTATTATTTTATTTGTTGGGAAACAGACCGAGGGCTTCCTGACTCGGGCCTTAATGGAAATAAGTCAAGGGCCCCAATGGAAATAAGTCAAGGGCCCCAATGGAAATAAGTCACTTTGACTTTTTTGGGTTATCCTAGGTAATTTACACGTTAAACTACGTACTTATGTGTACCTGTACCTAAATATACTTACTAATGACCCATTACGTATACTACTAATCAGATTTGATTAGAGAAGACAGCTGTTTTAACGGCCTTCCTTCATTTAACTTGTAGGTCTTAAATCTAAAAAACTAAGGCTTATAGCAAAATATCTGACTACATAATTATTATTGTTGTTATCTAGCCAAGGGGAAGCAGTAAATCCGCTGGGGTCTTATAGCACCTGGGGAATAGCAGGTACTTAAGTTTGATGCTTGGAAGAGTACCAGTACCGCTGTCTTCTTGGATTAATAACCCTTCACCAGTATCAGTATTAGATTACCTTGATAATCATCATCTTCCAGAGGCTGGCCGCGGGGAATTACCCGTAGCCTCACCACTTTCTTCAGCGGGGGTCGTGTGCTGACCTGGCACTCATACGACCCAGCGTCCGATCTCCTAACACCCGTCACTCTCAAGAACCAGGTCTCCGTCTGTTCTTCAAAGCTTGTGGAGAAACGTGGGTCGTTGACGAGGATGGAGGTGTCTATGGCAATGACTTGATTGTTGTGGAGTCTGGACCAGGTGACGGAGTGGGCGCCGAGGTTCTGGACACGACACAGCAGAAAGACGTCACCTCCTGCCTGCACGCGGACCACAGATGGGGTACTGTCGTCTATGCTGGTCGAAATTAATCCCTGACGGAGTTTCCGTTGGACTTTAACTCGCCTTCTTAACTCCTCGTATTTCCCCGTGTTGGGAGAGCGCTTCTGTCGCCCTGTTTCTGCACTTACCCATATAATTTTCTCTGTCTCTCGGTCTATCCCCGCATTGCTCCCTGTATCTGCAACTATTTCCGCTTCTTTTCTTATCTCTCCCTTTATCCCTGCCTCTCTTCCTATTTCTGCGACTATCCCTGCTCGTTTTCCTGTGCCTGTAACTATCCCTGTCTTTCTTCCCTTCTCTAAGATTATGCCTTCATCTCTTCCCTTTTCTATAACCATATTCAACTCTCTTCCTGTCTCTGCAGCTATGCCTGTCTCTTTTCCTCTCTCTGTAACTATCTCTGCATCTCTTTCTATCTCTGCAACTATACCTGTCTCTTTTACTATCTCTGTATCTATCCCCGCTTCTCTTTCTATCTCTTCATCTATCACTAGCTTTTTGCCTATCACTGTACCTTTCCCTCCCTCCCTACTTCTCTCTGCAACTATTCCTGCCTCTCTGTGTCTCTCTGCAGCTAGTCCAGCCTTTCTTCCTATCTCTTTATCTATGCCTATCTCTGCAACTATCGCTGCTTGTACCGGATTCCACGTCTCTCCTGGAACTAGCTGCTTCCATGTGTCTCTTACCGCCTCTCTACGTGCGTCCATTTGGCCTCTGGTCGCCTTTTTGGCACAGGGAGCCGCCGATGACCATTTTCCAGACACACACAACACTACCTTCATCACTGGCCCGCAATTTATAGCTGCGACTCGTCCGCCCAGGACCATCATAGCCCTGGAACCATCAGGATATTTCACTGCAGGACAAGGTAAGTCCGGTGGACCCCCTAGTGAGACCCCAACCACTAGGATACACAGGCACAACACGGGTAATATCTTCGACATCCTGCGTTACGAGTGTATTATATATGCTGTAGGCTTTGAACTTATACAATACGTATAATGAATTGAAATAAGTTATATAGAGAGGCGCTGTGCCCGTATGGATCATTCGGCTCAGCGTCAGGAGAGAGCGCCAAGATCTGCGCCGTTGCTGGCGCCACGGACACGACTGCTGATGGCGCCGCTGCACAGGTCAGCTATTAATAGCTTTAATCCAGTTTATGTACAACTCTCTTAAGAAAAGTGCCCGAGAATGAACTGGTTGGTGAGTGGTGGCTGGCGAGTGTCTGCCTCCTTCTGAGGTAAAGACCAGGTTAGTATATTACCTGCTTAACGGCATTCCTGCCACCCAGCCGTGATATTATTAATAATAATATTTTTTTTTCCAGACTCCTATTTACATGTTGTAGATATACAATTCACTTGCATATACAATTATATCTAGGTTAAATCTATATATTGTATTATATGTGTATGCCCATGACATTTATATATCCTCAAAAACATTGTAAAAACAACTAAATTTCCTGGTAAAATTATTTGCAGATTGCATTTTAGCACATTTTTCTATATTTTTATATATTTCAATTTTTTTAAATCACATGAAAAGTCCATAAAAATATATGTTATTATTGCATATTTCGACGTTTCAGAGGAATTGTAGTCATTTTCTGACATCCTTCATGCTAACTAGGCAGGTCTAACTCAACCACGCCTACTCGTGTACCTGGTCAACAGCTGCCCAAAGTTCTCGCCTCAGGAACACCACCTGGGTTTATTCCACTCATTCACAACATATAAACCAGAAATTTTAAAGAGATGGAGGGGTAAGCCAGTGGAAGGCCTCGGTCAGATGACCAAAAACTCCAGCTGCGGGTCATCACATCACTAAGACCCACGTCAGGAAACACCCGTCTTGTTTCCTGACAAACCTTACCTAACCCAACCTCATATATATAAATATATAAAATATATATATATAATATATAATATATATATATATATATATATATATATATATATATATATATATATATATATATATATATATATATATATATATATATATATATATATATATATATATATAATATATATAATATATTAATATAAACATTAAATAAATAATTGCAATAAGATCACAGTAAACAGGTGATTTCAGAATATGCAAAAAAACCACTGTGAAAGAATAGAGAAGTTCCAAGCGCTTTCGTGACTACTCAAAGAGTTTGCCAAGTGTGACACACCTAGAAAAAGGTAAAAAATTACTGCTCCACATACATAAAAGTCATTCCCAATGTATAAAGGAATCAGTGATACTTACTGTGGTCTGTGGGATGGCCATGGGCCACCAGGGCCCCAACCAGAAGCATCAGCACAACACACATTCTGAAACTGTTGAATCCGCTTAAAACTTTGCATCTCTTTAAAATATATACTAAGTGTTATATGACATATGGGTTTAGCGCTTCGATATGTCACTAGTCAACCCAAAAAAATCGTTTGTCAAAGATATTTGAAGGTATTTAGGGTATTTTTGGGGTTGCTGGATTCAAAAATGTGAGTAGGCTTTTCAAAATGGCTCTAGTCTGCATATCTACTCTCAACATATATATCTTAGCTGCTCCTGATCAATATATCATTCACATCTATGTTTTTCAGTGAGATACCACATTTATCAAAAACTAGAGTCAATCAAAACCGATAATATATCCGGGACCAGCACCTCAAACTTACCCTAAAATCAGTGTGATATCTTTGGCCAGGAAAAGTGTTGACCAATAATTAAAAAAAATGTCACAATAATCAATAATAACATCGATTCAACGTAAATTATTTCTCAAGTCAACAGTATAGTTATAATTCGTGCTATATCAATATTATTATTATTACCATTATTATTATTATTATTATTATTATTATTATTATTATTATTATTATTATTATTATTATTATCGTGGAGGTTCTTGATCAATATTTTTGACAACAGAAATACATTAACTCCGTTCTAATTCTCAAGTAATAGTAACTCCAGTTCTACTGAAAGGAAATCTTTTAAGCTGCCATAGCTGATGAACTTTTAATGGAACACTTGACACTGAAATCCTCATGGCCCTACTGAAGTCTCCCAGCTTAGGCTGACACATTTCAACACTATGTACATCATCCATTGTGTGTGATGGGATATGACAGGAAAACAGCTAGATTTTGTTCCTATTATGTAATTATAATTTAGAACAACTGTTGGTGTTTCCACTGTGTAACTATCATAGAACTGCGTAGGAGCACATTGCTGGTGTTTCCACTGTGTAGCTATCATAGAACTGAGTAGGAGCACAATGCTGGTGTTCCCACTGTGTAACTATCATAGAACTGAGTAGGAGCACACTGCTGGTGTTCCCACTTTTTAACTATCATACAGAACAGCGTAGGAGCACACTGCTGGTGTTCCCACTATGTAACTATCATAGAACTGAGTAGGAGCACACTGCTGGTGTTTCCACTGTGTAACTATCATATAGAACAGCGTAGGAGCACACTGCTGGTGTTCCCACTATGTAACTATCATAGAACTGAGTAGGAGCACACTGCTGGTGTTTCCACTGTGTAACTATCATATAGAACAGCGTAGGAGCACACTGCTGGTGTTCCCACTATGTAACTATCATAGAACTGAGTAGGAGCACACTGCCGGTGTTTCCACTGTGTAACTATCATATAGAACAGCGTAGGAGCACACTGCTGGTGTTCCCACTGTGTAACTATCATATAGAACAGCGTAGGAGCACACTGCTGGTGTTCCCACTTTGCAACTATCACTGAACAGCGTAGCAGCAAACTACTGGCGTTCCCACCATGTAACTATCATACAGAACAGCGTAGTAATACACTGACGGTGTTCCTACTGTGTACCTTTTTTTTTTTTTTTTTTTTACCTGCCATATAGAATCTGGTAGCAGCACATTGTCGATATATATAATTTTGCAAAAATAAAATAAAACGAAAAATCACCCATTTATAAACATAACCACCATCTAATCGTTTTTCCTAATGTCACATTCTTAACAGTTGTTTTCCCAATACTCACCCCCTTCACCCCATGTTCCATTACTCATGCTGGCCTGCCCTGCCCCTCACAACAAGGATTCACAGTGGCCTTGGTAGAAGCCTTGTGCCCACCAACCCACCAATGGTGAGCCTCAGCCAGGGTTGCCCGCTGGGAATACATAATTGCTCTTGACTACACGATTCCCCGACTCATCCTATGTCGCCTTCTGTTAGTTGTGTTGTCTCCTTTGTCCGGGTAATTGTGTTTAGGATACCCAGGGTACCACCATAATTATGATATATAATTCTTAATAAACCCAGATGTACACCTGATAACCCTTTTGGGGCCTAGTTCCTAGGCCTTTTGTGTATCCATATGCTCTTGCGCTACCCTCCACAGGATGGATATGGGGTGCACAATAAACTAGCCACTTAAGAACATAAGAACGAAGGAACACTGCAGAAGGCCTACTGGCCCATGCGAGGCAGGTCCAAGTCCCTACCGGCTTAAGCCAATGCACCCAACCTAGTCAGGTCAGGTCACATTGACTTAAGGGAGGAACACGGCAACCGACCTGTTAGCACAAGCTATCAGGTCCAACTCACACCCACCCACATCTACTCATGTATTTATCCAACCTATTTTTGAAGCTACACAACGTTCTGGCCTCTATAACGGTACTTGGGAGTTTGTTCCACTCATCCACAACTCTATTACCAAACCAGTACTTTCCTATATCCCTCCTGAATCTGAATTTTTCCAACTTAAAACCATTGCTGCGAGTCCTGTCTAGGCTAGATATTTTCAGCACACTATTTACATCCCCTTTATTTATTCCTGTCTTCCACTTATAAACCTCAATCATATCCCCCCTAATTCTACGTCTTTCTAGAGAGTGCAGTTTCAGGGCCCTTAGTCTATCCTCATAGGGAAGGTTTCTGATACATGGGATCATCTTTGTCATCCTCCTTTGTACATTTTCCAGAGAATTTATATCCATTCTGTAATACGGTGACCAAAACTGTGCAGCATAATCTAAATGAGGCCTAACCAAGGATGTATAGAGTTGAAGAACAACCTGAGGACTCCTATTATTTATGCTTCTTGATATGAAGCCAAGGATTCTATTAGCTTTATTGCGAACACTTATGCACTGTTGTCTTGGTTTCAGATTACTGCTAACCAGAACTCCTAAATCTTTTCGCAATCCGTAATATTAAGATCTACATTATTTAGTTTATATGTGGCATGGTTATTGTCCTGTCCAACATTTAGAACTTTGCATTTGTCTATATTAAACTGCATCTGCCACTTCTCCGACCACTGCATCAGTCTATTCAAATCTTCCTGGAGTGCTCGAATGTCCTCGTCAGAATGAATTCGACGGCCTATTTTGGTGTCATCGGCAAACTTGCCGATGTCGCTCTTTATGCCCTCATCTATGTCGTTTATGTAGATTGTGAACAGCAGGGGGCCCAACACTGACCCCTGTGGAACACCGCTCGTGACGCTTCCCCACTCTGATTTCTCCCCATTTATGCAAACTCTCTGCTGCCTATTTGTCAACCATGCCTCTATCCAGGAAAAAATTTCTCCTCCTATTCCATGTGCTTTAATTTTCCTCAATAGTCTCTGATGTGGGACCCTGTCAAAAGCCTTACTGAAGTCCATATACACAATATCATATCATTACCATGATCTACCTCCTCAAATACCTTAGTGAAAAAAGTTAATAAATTCGTAAGGCAGGAACGCCCCTTTGTAAAACCATGCTGAGATTCGTTGATTAATTTATGCTTTTCAAGGTGGCTACGAACTGCCTCGGCAATTATTGATTCCATAAATTTTCCACTATGGAGGTTAGGCTTATTGGTCTATAGTTCGAAGCTAAGGACCTGTCACCTGTTTTGAAAATAGGTATCACATTTGCCATTTTCCACTTATCTGGCACCATGCCAGTTTGTAGTGATATGTTGAAAAGATTAGCCAAAGGTGTGTGCTAAGCTCCTCTTTACATTCCTTTAGAACCCTTGCATACAGTTCATCAGGGCCTGGGGATTTGTTAGGTTTTAATTTATCTATTTGCCTAAGGACCATGTCACTTGTGACCCTAATAGTGCACAGTTTATTATCGTCCTGTTCTACATAATTTATCATTACTGGAATATCGCTGGTATCCTCCTGTGTAAAAACTGAGAGGAAGTATGTGTTAAAAATTCTACACATTTCCTTATCACTGTCAGTGAGCTGACCCGAGGAACTTTTGAGTGGGCCTATCTTGTCCCTGATCTTACTTCTGTATACCTGAAAGAATCCTTTTGGGTTAGTCTTCGATTCTCTTGCAACTTTAACCTATATTCCTATTTGCTTTTTAATTCCTTTTTTTTTCTTTTTAACTGCATATAGATTCTTAATTGCCCATTGCCTCGTATATATATTTTGCCAAAATAAATAAACGAATCCTCCATTTAACATACCACATCAATCGTTTTATCTAATGTCACATTCTTAACAGTTGTTTTCAAATACTCACCCTTCCCCATGTTCATTACCATCTGGCTGCCTGCCTCACAACAAGGATTCACAGTGGCCTTGGTAGAAGCCTTTGCCCACCACCCACCAATGGTGAGCCCTCAGCAGGGTTGCCGCTGTAGAATACATAATTGCTCCTTGACATCACGATCCAACGACTCATCCTATGTCGCCTTTGTAGTTGTTGTCTCTTTGTCGGGTAATGTCTTTGGATACCCAGGTACACCAATTTGAAAAATTTCTTATAAACCGATGTACACCTGATAACCTTTTGGCCTAGTTCCTAGCATTTTGTGTTTTCATGTCTTGCCTACCTCACAGATGATATGGGGTGCACAATTAATAGCCACTCGTGGCATCTAAAATCTAATCTGCCTTAAAAGTAGTGTATATAAGCATATATTAAATGTTTTTTTTTTCCCGTGAACCATCATTTCCTCCTGTAAAGAAACATAGGCCTTCCATCTCTGGATCACCATCACTATCGTAAAACCCAATCAAATGGGTGACTGATGAAGGAACTTTTAACAGTGAAAATGTGACATAACTATGTCTACCTCGCTCATGGGATGCCAGTTTTCTGTTAATGCTGCAAACTTTCTATTATCTTTATCCTATATTGAAATTTTACTACTGTATGTTATAATTGGTTATTTTTTTTTATGGATAGAAGACAGCCTAACCTAACCTAACCGAGAAACTTGCTGACAACAATATGTGACGGAACTGAGTACAGAAAAGACCAAGTGGGATGAATTGGGTAGTGGGGATAATGTAACTACCTGGAGGGTATTCCGGGGATCAACGCCCCCGC